TTTTAAATATAATTTATTTTTTAAAGCCACTATGTATATTTTTCACAAGTATAAAATAAAATTGTTTTCTAATTCGTTTTTACACAATTACTAGTAATTCTGTAAACTGTATATGATGTAAAAAAATAAAAAAATCTATTAATATTTCTGTACTGTATATTGTAATTGTTGCAGGAATTTACTAATGGGTTTAAAAATATATTTTTATTATTATTAAAATAAGATTTGTGTGACAGTCACATTAACAATTCGCTGTGCCACCAGGTAGGTTTAACAGATTAAGTGCAGTTCTGCATTAGATTATTTGAAAAAATAAAAGAAGCATTACGCATTGATGGTTTCCTTACTGCAGCACTTTTGTGGTATGACACATTTTAGATGCCAAGTTTAAATTTTAAATCACACCCCTCGAGTGATTCAGCATCATGTCAGATCACCTTGACTTTTAAACTGTAGCCGAGGTATTGCTCAAGTTTTAAACATGCATCTCCCCTACTGCCTTGTAGGTTTCCGGAAAGCTTCTTTTATCTTTTAACTGTGATGTGGAGGGAAAGGTAATGCACTGAGCTGTTCTTCCTTGCAGTGAACTTAGTCAAATAAAGTAACTGTTGCACTGTTTCATGTTTGATTCTCTTGATTTTGATCCATTTCTTCTGGGTGTTGCCACAGACCTGAGTATGATCATTTGTGTCTAGGAAACCAAGTGTTAAGCTTAATGTCATCCTTAAGTAATTTAAAAAAAAAACTCAGTTTTTCTGAAGACATGGTCAGTGTTACAGTTGAGAACTTAATCTGCTTTAAGATTAACAAAGGTCTTGAGGGAAAAGTAGCTGGAAAGGCTTGATCATCTTCTCCATGTTTCTTAAGGCTGATTTCCTGAATGTTTTAATCACTTCACTTATGATAGGATTAGGGTTATGATTTAAAATTGACTGATATTAATAGTTTCGAATAGCATAAGCTAAGGTTTTGAAGTGTGTGAATCGGAGAGGTTTTGGAAAAAGTTGGATGCTTTTTTCAAATTTGAGAAAAAATGTAATAGCAGTTCCATGTCTGCCATATGAAATCATGGCTTAACAAAAGATTGTCTAATATTTTAGTTAGTTATATTGTTACTGAAAGTTGGAAAAAATAGTTGTTGAATATACTTGTGAGACATACATTTTAGACTATGATGTGATAAGATGAAATGTATCACTAGGCCATGTTTTAGATTGTATGTCCAAAGTCCAGATAACCAAAGTCCAGAACTTACTGGTAGGTTAAGTAGCTTCTGGAAATATTTGCGCTGACATGAGTGTGTGCATCTTTGTGTCTGTGTGTCCTCCGGTGGACTGGCTGGTTCAGGATATATTCTGTACTGCATTGCACCCCTTGCATGCTGGCATAGGCTCTAGATACCCCATGACCCTGTAGTGGATAAAGCATTCAGAAAATGGATGGATGGGTTGTTATCAAATTGTGACTTTTCCATTCATTTTCATTTCAAAGTGTTCCAACCCTTTACAAGGCAAACCTAAACTAATTTTAGGTGCATTCAATTTCTATAATGATCCACAAAATTAGTTTCTTACTGTGTGCAGTAATAATGGTTTTCTTAATTTCAGAATAAAAACACCTTTTTCTGTGAGGTCAGGTAGTGAATTTCATCCTCTGACGGCAATTTGTTTTGTGGCATAGTCCAATACATCGATACAAACAAAGAAGACAAACATTACCAACAGAGAAAAATGTACAATAATGTTACAGGGAAAGAACATGGTACAGTAGTGTTAAAGCAACAATGCTCCAAAGATATCCCAAAAGGTGTTGTGGTGAGATGAGATGAAATTGGAACTTTTATTAAGTGTTATGTTTGGTGTGGGTCCCACATAGTGCATTTCCTATTCAACAGATCATGTCAAGCATGGTAGTGGTAGCATTGTGCTTTGGGGATGCTTTTTCCCAGCAGGGACTAGAAAGTTAGTTTTGATTGAATAAAAAATGGATGGAGAAAAGTGTAGGAAAATACTGAACTAAAACGAGGGTGAAAATTCACCTTTCAGCAGGAGAACAAAGCTGCACTTGAGTGGCTGAAGACTAAGAAGGAATGACCTTGATTCACCCAGTCCTGACTCAAATCATATTGAAAATCTATGGAAAGACTTTAAAAAGTGCTTTCAGTAAGTGTTCCCCAAAGAACGTGAGAGAGCTGGAGAAAATCTGCTAAAACTATAGCAAACCTTGCACCAAACCCATGTGCAAAGACTAACCCAAAAAGACTTGTAGCTGCAGTTACTGCCAAAGGTTCTTCCACCTAATATTGTGTTCAGGGTTCTGATTTTTTTATATAATCAACATATTTCATTTTTTCTCTTTTGTTTTTGCTGATTTACTCAAGTTACTGTAACTTAAGTCTCCAGTTTGAGGATGAAGGTTTTAAATAACAGATTTTAAGTTTGAAATATATATATAGGTTAAAAAAATGTATGGATTGTTTAATTTCACAGAAATGGGACAACATGGGAAGGGTCTGAATCATTTTGGGTTAGTGTAGATTGTAGACACTCAGGTTAGAGTCCTAAAGTATGACTGAAGTTTAAAATGAAGTAGATATTACGTTGTTATCAAAACTCACAGTGTCTGACAACACCTAAGTTGATTGACACTCTTTGTTAACCCTGCCCTTTGTCCTTTTCAGGTGATGGTGGAAAACTCGGATTTCACCCCCTCTCAGGTGGGATGTCTCTTTACCTTTCTGGCCCGGCAGCTGGCGAAACCTAACAACACACTGTTTGTCAACAGAAAACTATTTGACCAGGTAATTAGTGTTGACTCTCATCATCTGCTGGAAACTTTGAAATGGCTTAGAAATATTTTAGCTGTAAATCCTCACAATTCATGATGATTTGCTTGAATGGTACATCAGCTTCTTTAGCTTTACTCTGAAAGGATTTTACTTTCAAACATCTAGTTCTAAGGCAATTGTGTGTTGTCAGAGCTATTCAACAATTAACCTTGTATTTTTTAGTGACTAGTAACTTTATACAACAACCCCAAGTCCTTTTGGCTTTAATTTAAGAACAGTGAGAACTATGGGCATGCACAATTATTTGTTTTGGGGAGGAAAGAGTCCTTATTCTGTTCTTTGCGATTTGAAAGCTATATTTTTAAATGTGATCAATTTAGAATGATAATGGAACTTAATTGGACATTTTCTTTTTAACAGGTACTTGAATTTCTCTGCAGTCCAGATGATGACTCTAGACATACAGAGCGACAGCAGGTAAACACCATTATATTATTATTGTATTGTATTATAGAGAAAGTAACCGATTTGGGAGAAATAAATGTCATATTTGAATACCAAGACCCCTTCATCAACTTTCCAGGTGAACATAGAGGTAGTGGAAAAAAAATGAACACCAGAGTAAATGAGTGTTGCAGTATTTCTTTCCTGCTGGGATAGTTATCTTCTAGGACGACAGTCCTGTCATCCACAGAGCGCAGGTGGTTGACCAGTGGTTTGCTGAGCAGGACTCTGACGTTATCCATATGTCATGTGTCACCAGATTTGAAACCACTCAAACATTTGATTTCTCTAATGCTTTACTTAGTTCTCCACTTTTATAAAACTGGTGATCTACAACAGCTGACCTAGTCAATAATCTAAACACTGCGTTGACTAGTACTTTGGATAAACTTGCACCCATAAAAACTCGATTGGTTTACTTGGCTCCTCTCCATGGGATTCACCTGAACTTCAGAATCTGAAGCTAGTTGCACGGCATCTGGAATGCTTAGGCAAAAAATCCTCCCTAGAGGTTCACACTCAGGTTTATAACAAACACATACAAGTCTACAGAGCTGCTCTAGCTTCTGCCGGATCCTCCTGTATCTCTGATACAGTTAGCTCAGGACTAGGAAAGCATAAAGCACTCTTCTCTGTCTAAACACCCTGACAACTCTGCTTTCTCTGCCACCCCTGACCTCTGTGTTACATTTTTGCATTTTTTTCAAAGATTAATGCTATACAACTACAATTATCTGAATTATGCCTCAACATTGCAATGAATTTGGACAACTCGAGCCATAGTTTTTCCGCTGACTTTCCCCCTGTACCATAGTTTTCTGAATTTAGCTAAATTAACTTAATCCGATAAATTTACAAAAATTGCAATTACCTGTAAAACAACTTACCTGCTGCCTAGATCCCATCCCTATCTCTTTATTGAAAGCTTGCCTTCCAGACATCTGCCAGTTAATTGTCAACGTCATCAACAGTTGCCTTTCCCTGGGTATGGTCCCTAATGCCTTAAAGACTGCATCTATCACTCTTATATTGAAGAAACCTGGTTTGGACCCTGATGTAATGAACTACAGACCAATCTCTAATTTACTATTTCTATTGAAAGTTGTAGTTTGGTTGCACATAGCCTACAAGTACAGATGATAGCCAATGACTTGTTTTGCCATTTCTGTCTGGCTTCCTCTCAAATCATTGCCTCTGACTCGGGGACTATACGTAATCTTTTCCTCCTCTATCTTTGTGCTGTTTTGATACAGTAAATCATTCAGTGTTGCTCAGTCGCCAGCAGGCATTCTTGTCTATCAGTGGTCCTGTCTTTAACTGGTTTTGCTCTTATCTAATTGGCAGGCATCATTTTATGTGTGCCAGTCCTCATAATTCCCCCATGTCCCCAGTCAATCATGGCTTCAGGGTTCAGTCCTGAGGCTTTACTTTTTATTATTTATATGCTACCTCTCAACCAGATTATATGCAAACATGGTCTTCAATTTCACTGTTATGCAGATGAAACTCAGATTTATGTTAAAACCTCTTCCCCCTCCTGGTTTCCCCACCCAGTCACTTCTCTTGTTTGCGTGACATCAGACTGGTTGGCATCAAATTCCCTGAAGCTAAATAGTGACAAAAAATAAATTTTACTGGTGGTCAGCAAATCTCAGTTGGGTAAACTTAAGGATTTGACAGCAATGGTGGATGGTTTCCTTATTCATGCGTCAGCCATAGTCAGGAATCTGGGATTCACACTTGATCCTCTCCCGTCTTTTGAGATACATGTGAAAAATTTGATTACGACATCTTTCTTTTACCTTAGAAATATTACCTGCATCATGCATTTTTTATCAATGCCCAATGCTGGTTTCCGGATCCATGCATTTATAACATACTTACTTTACTTTCTCCAAACTCTCTTCTCAACAAGTTGCAATATGTTCATAATTGTGCAGCTACACTACTTGCTCACATCAGACCCTGGCAGCATATCACTTCTAACCTTAAGTCTCTACATTGGTTGCCTGTAAAGTCACATACAGTATTCAATACAAGATCTTGATGCTGACTTTCAAGGCTCTAAACAATCTGGATATGTCGTAATCTCTGAAATCCTCCATGTTTACACCCCCCGCTGCAGGCTCCGTTCAGTTGAGGTCGGTCCTCTTCTCACTGTCCCCAGGACTAAATCACGGACTTTTGTTTTCTGTCGCTGCTAGTGTTGTGGCACCGACCTTCCTCAGACTTTACGAGAGACAGCTTCTTCAGCTCTATTCAAATCTAACCTAAAAAACTGATCTTTTTTTGGATAGAATTGTTGTCTCGCAGCACTGGGGCCCTGGGTTCAATTCTGGACCTGGGGTGCTATCCATGTGAAGTTTGTATGTTCTCCCCGTGTTGACATGAGAATCCTAAGGGTGTGTCCAAAGACATACTTGTACATTATTAGGTTTGTGGGAAAACTGGCCTTGATGTGAATGTGTGTGTGTGCTGTATCCTGCTTTGTGGCAGTTGCTTGCCGAGACAGGCTCTAGCTCCCTTATGACCCTGAATTAGATAAGATGGTTAGAAAATTGATGGACACATAATGTTACTTGCCTGGTAGGGACTGACCTCTGCCAAGGATTCATTAAACAAAAGTCAGAATTGATCTAAAAAAAATGATGTATTAGTGGGTTCTTCAGTGTTGGTAATGTTTATATTTTATAAACCATCCCCAACGTAGTATTACCCTTTTTATCACAGTTCTCTGTTATTGTGCACCATATGTATATGAAATTTGCATCACAAAAGAATATTTCTTGTGGTAGATACACTGAACAGCTGTAAGAGAGGGCTCCCTGCAGAATTCTGATTGTGAAAGACTGCATGTTGAAGGGGTTATAAGAATGCCAACTACTAATTTTTGATTTTCAGTGAGGGTCTTCGTTATTATAGTTTCATAGTTACACTAGTGGCTATCGGCTCATGCCTTTATGTTTTGGATGCATATTTGAGATTTCTTAGTTCCTATCCAAAGGCAAAACAAATGTGCAGACGTTTTGTTTTTTTTCTAACTTGTGAAGGTCACATCTAATTTGTAAAAAACTATATAATTTTTCTAGCATTATTTCTTCAATGCTTGTTGCAGTGCAATCTCATGGTGATCATGAGACTCAAGTACAGTGTACTTGTCTGTAAAGCTTGTGTGAAAGGTATATAAAGGGATTATAGCAGTATATTCTAGGACTCTGTTGATGAGATATCTGAGTCTTTTTGCATGTGATCCAAGGTTCTACTGGAGCTGCTGCAGGTCGGAGGAGTGGCACAATTTGATGAGATCAGACTCATCATTCTAGCTGAAAAGGCTGAGTTGTAAGTATTTAATCCTCAAATTGCTTAATGAATGCCTTCTGTCATCTGTCTTGGATCTATATCTATCCCAATGCAGTCTATTTCCAAAAAAATATACTGTATTATTGGGCTGTTAGGTGCAGGACATTATCTTTCAGCAGTGTAATTTGCACATAAACAAAGTATATAGAGTTGCAGATTATGTACCTGTATGTCTGGCCTTTAAAAGCTTTTCATAAACTGCTATAAAGGTACTATATATTTGCAATTCTCATGAAATAGACCTTCTAGCGTTCATATTAATGAAGTAGTAATTTTGAATATGTTCCTCAGTTTTGCCCTCTGCTGGGTTCAGTCATGAATTATCATGCAACATTAAGGGAGGATTTAAATGAAACCATTGTTGCTTGGTGTTTAACTTGGAGTATTGTGTGATACAACAATATTTCTCCTCTGCTTAAAGGGGAATTGCAGCGCTGTTTTTACGTTTGAGAGTTATAAAGAATTGGCATTGATTAGCGTATTTCAAACCACAATGAAAGTACAATGAAAGTACAGAGTACACACTAACATGTAAAACTTCCAATTTACCCAACAAAATAGTCTACGTTTCCAAGTATGTGCAGCACCACATTGCCATCATTGTCTGCGATTCACAACAAAGCAACAAAATGTGAACCAGCCCTATTACATTGCAACAAGCAGGCTTGTGAATACATCTCTTTTAATCCAATAGAGATATTGCTCTTAATTGTAAAAACACATATTTAATCCAAATATTAATTTAGGTATTAAACATAATTATGATCCAATATATCACTTAAATTACGAAGATATATTTTTTTCTATTTTTCTGTCATGCACTGATATCACCCTCTCACTGCATTCCCTTTTAATTGGTTGCTTTTTATAAGCAAAAATAGTAGGAATGAAACCTGATTTGAGCAAAATGTATGGTTCAGTATCTGTAATGAAAATATATAATATTCATTTATATATTAGAACTGTCAGGCTTTAGAATCTTGTGAACTCCAAAGCAGAGAAAATTGACAATATTTACAAATATACTGTATATAATGTTATGAAACCAACAAGTACAAGGTGACATGCTTTATCTAGACTGCCAATTGGAATGTATGCAATTGAATTTAACATATGGATTTCTAGATGGTAATGCTGACAACTACTTACCGTACTTGTTAACTCTGAATGCAGATCATGTTGGAACAATTCTGCAGTGGAATTCCTGCTGCACAGCCTGTACTTATTTGCATGTATATTGTGCTGAATCTTTTGTTGAGAAACTTGTTGATGGGACCAACATCGGTGTCCATGTTTATCTGTTGGCAAGTTTAATATCCTTTGGAGTTTGACTTTCTGGTGACCCAATCCTCTGTTTTGTATGCAACCACTGTGTTCTGAGGATTTAAAGGATTAACAATGTTGGAGAAAAATGTTCCCTTTTTTACAGGAATAAGTGAGTAGGAAGTGCTGTTTAACGTCCTCTCTCTCTCATCCATTGGAATCACTGGTGGTTTACCACAACACACAGTTGTCATACAGTACAGTTCTATATACAGTACAGTGTCTTACAGTACAGTTGTACAGTACAGTACTATACAATACTTTCACAAACATAACAATTTTCTGCTTCATTTGAAATGTGTACAATTTTGCTGTACTGTCAAAGAATTTATTTTGTTTCCGAGATTTCATATCAAGTCGAGAAATTGGGACTGTAGTTTCCCTTTAAGCAGACTGGTTACAATTACACAATAGAGTATTAGGAAAATAGATAAATATAGCAGGATAATCAATTATTAAAGTAAATAAATATAACCCCAAAATTTCAAACACATGCCAAGAATATACCTGAGTGGTTGGTGTAGTTTGAGACACCTGAGCTCTTAATTCTCTAGTACAGCTCTGGTGCAAGACTAATAAATACAAGGCAAACTAAAAAAATAATAATTAACAATAACAAGTACTAGACAACACACCACGTTACACACATATAACAAGTTACAATTTACACCATTTACAAACAAGAGGTCTCAGAGGCCTACATCCACACAGACTGCTAACTCAGCACTCAGAAATCCTGTACTGCCTAAACAGGTGACAAGAGAGCTAAACTTGTGTCATAACTATGGCAAAATACAGCCTACAGGTAATTTTCCTTTATAAATCGGGATGCATCAAACTGAATGGGAATCTACTTCCCTGTTTTAAAAATGCATGTCTAACCCTGAGAGCCTTTAGCCAGGGTATTCTTCATAAAATAAATCCATTACCTAAAATTACAGAACAATAACCTGTCTTAAACAAGGTTTAAAGCTAGAATGTGGTCTTTAAGGTTTATCCAAACAAGATACTCTCACTGGCATGTGATCTTGCCTGATCACCTGATCAGTGTATGATGCTGTTAATATTTGCCTTTACTATATCCTTCAACATCTGGAGCATATTTGAGACTTTTTTTTGTTGATTTTGGCTCTGCATTCAACACCATCTTCCCAGAACTTCTCCAAAATAAACTGTCTTATTTAAATGTTCCCCTGCCCACCTGCCAGTGCATCACCCACTTCCTAACAAACGCAAGACAATATATGCAGATGCGCTCTTATTTGTAAGATTGCTTATCTGTGAACATCAGTGCACCTCAAAGCTGTGCTCTCTCCTCATTACTCTACTCCCTGTATACCAACAACTGTATTTCCAGAGACATGACTCCTCTGTTAAACTACTCAAAGATGCAGATGACCCACCCTGGTGGATTTTATTGGCAATAGAGTAGAGACCAGGTACAGAAGGGAAGTGGATCATTGCAGCATGGTGTGTCACCAACACCTTAACGGACTTTTGGAAAAACCTTCCAAAACCCTCGAAACTGACAAAGTTGTAGTGAGTTTGGTACAGTCTTTCAACAAAAACTGCCTGGCACCTGAACAGCTTCTTCCTCATAGCTGTCACCCTACTTAACCAGGACACATTAATACAGGATATAGTGTGTATATAATTGTGAACCTGTACATGTTCTCTGTATGAAATGTGCATGTACAGTATCATTGAATTGTTTCTGGCTATGTTTTCGCACTAGTACACCAAATCAAATTCATTGTACATGTAATGTACATGGCAAATAAAGCGATTCTGATTTTGATTGTGGAATTCACACGTCTGTCACATTTTATATTTTAGTTACCAGATCTGTGAATTCATGTATGAAAAGAAGCACATGTATGACAAAATCATACACTGCTATCTGAAGGACCCTTTGAGAAAGGTGGGTTGAAGAAATCATTTTTGGTTTGTTGTTTTTTGTACTGCAGTTATTTTGTATTTATGCTGAAACTCTTCTGCCTCCATTAAACACATTTCAGTGACATTTAGAAAGCTAAAGCTGCTAATTTGAAATCCTTACTAATTAATGATTAATTTTGATTGTATTTGATCAAGTTAATAAAACATGCCATGGAAGAGTTGTTTTTTGCTTTTAAATTCAGTCTTGACTTCTGCAGAGTGACTGTAGTTTATTAACTACACTGTATTTTTCTTTAGCTCCATTTATACTCTTTACAAAATGTTTTGATTTTACATTGCATAATTTAAAGTAGTTATTATTCACATGGGCATAACAGTAGTTCTTCATCTCCTATAATAAATCAACGAGATAAAAGGTCCAGGGGCACCGTATAAATGGCTGACCCTGCGCTCTGACCCAAAGTTTCTTTCCCTATCTCTGTGTCTGTGTGTCTCATGGGGAGCAAGTTGGGGTATGTGAGAAGACAAATTCCTAATACAAGAAATTGTATATGTCCAGCAAAGTGATCTCCTGAATAAAAACAATGTGTTGTTGATATTTCCAATGCTTGAAATTATGCAAGATTTATAATATATATTGTATGATTTTGCAGTTAATCTAATACTTTAAACTTCTTCTTTTTCCTTGTCATGAAACAGGAGGAGGTTTTTAACTATATCCACAACATCCTGTCACTCCCAGGATATAGTGTGGAGGAGAAGAAGTCAGTGTGGGACAAATCTATGGAACATATTCAGGTGCAGTACTACACACATCACAAGTGAATCCAGTGTAAAATGCTGGGGCAACAGTACTTTATAATATCTCAATATCTCTGCTCTAGAAGAAGAAAAGTATGTAACAGTACAACCCATAAATTGCTGGATGTTACCAGGCTAAATATAACTACACACGAGATGCCCCAAAATAAACTCAGAAGTACTGACATTGTTACAAGGCTAAACTGTTCTTATAATTGCAATCCAAGATCACTGATTTTTATTTTGACTTAATTGCTCTCTTCTCTGCAGGGGCTCCTGTCCATTGATCCTTCAAAGGCAGCTGATCTGGTTGCAATCCACTTTGCAGACGAGGTTCAGCCCATCATTGACAAGCTGGAGGTAAAATGCTTTGCTACAAATGTCTTCCCTATCTTAAAGAATTCCACAGAGTGATCATCAAGAGCCAATGTGAGATTTGCTGAGATTGAAAGAAATAGCCAGTACTGCTTCTAATGCTGGATGGTAGTGATTTATCACTCAAAATAGAAATTAGAAGGGTGATAAGTGTGAATGTTTTATTCTTGAAACAATACAAGATAATTGAGTTTGAATAACTCAATTTTAAGAAGAAGAATGAGGTTTTTACCAGTAACTCAGTACAAACACCTACCTTCTGAAGTAAGTAAATTGGGAAATAACATTTTTTATATTTTCGTATAATATCATCCAGCCGCTATATAACCCTGCAACTCACAACTGGCAATCCACTGAGGCTGAGCAGGTGTGAGTCTAGCTAGAATCTGGATAGGAAACCTCCAAACCTCCAAGGAAAGCTAAGTTTGCTGCTGGAAGAGGTGTTACTGGGACCAATAGAGAGCACTCACTCTGCGGTCTGTTTGAGTCCTAATACCCCAGTATAGTGACGGGGACACTACTGTAAAAAGGCGCCATCCTTCGGATGAGACTTAAAGCTCTCTGTGGTCATTAAAAATCCCAGTGAGTTTCTCAAAAAGACCAGTGATGTTGCTGCGGTATCCTGGCCAAACTTCCCCCTGGCCTTTACTAGTCATGGCTTCCTAATAATCCACATCTGTGAATTGGAGTCATTACACCAAAGTGCTACACATTGGTGGTGGATGGGGGTCCCCATTACCTGTAAAGCACTTTGAGTGTAGTATCCAGAAGAGGGCTATATAAGTATAAAGAGCTGTTACTATATAATTTCAATCACCACAAATCTAAACTTAAAAATTAAACTTCTTCCTTGACTAATCTATGAGGAACATAGGCAGATGCATATAATCTCAGAGATTGCTATAATCAGGCTTCTCGTTTTTTTCTTACACTATAATGAGAATATTATGAGCCAAAATACATTGTCTCATATTTTCAAGTGACAGTCAATTACTAAAACTAACATTCCAAACTAATGCTCTTGAATGCAAATACATAACAATTTGGTCACAGTTGTTTTCTTTCTGCTTCCACAGTTTCAAACTGGAAAATGTGGATTTTTTTTTTCTAAAAGAGCTTACCTAGCTTCCTTTAGGAAGCTGTAATTCTAACTGTTGATAAACTATAAGAAACCCACTTGATCAGACACATCAGTTTGCTCTTGCACTGTTTGAAAGATAATGGTATCTAAACCTGCCGACCCCAAATTTAATTTTCCAGAATTCTAATCAGTATT